TTTAGTCACAGCGGTGGCGACATTAAAAATACTAATCACCTATTATCTGACATATTCCAATATGATGACACAACGTGCAGATCTTTCTCCAGACGGTGTTTTGCTCCCACAGCAGCAGTAAAGCTTTCACTCACAGAGCTGCCAATTAAAAACTACTCTTCCCTCCTGCTTCTCAGTACCGCATGAAACTATGATGAATATTTATATGAGCATGGATAATTTATATACATTTTTTTAAATGCGGAGAGTCAGGGACCGTGTTGGTAGGGGGCGCGTTCGGCTTCTGTACTGGTGGGAAGATCAAATGGTCAGGAAACGGGGTTGAGTAATAATTCCATTATCAGCCTTTCGGACACCAAACACCTCCCAGTGATTTAGAAAACAATGCGGTATTATCTCACAACTCTGTTCTCTATGTTGGCAGTCCAACTGTGCCAATGTTGTGGCCTCATGAGGAGACGCACCCCCCCCCCCCCCCCCTGATGTCAGCAACACAGCAATACTCGAAGCAACCATTTGCAGCAGGTTCAGTCCTCATTGAAAGGGGTTAGTTTTCTCTTCTTCACCACCGAAATGTTACTGAAGTGCCTTCAGATTGTGAACTGCCTGCACTGATATGAACACCACCAGACAGCCATAGTGCAGACACAGTGCACCAGCGCGGGGTCAGACCGTTAAATAAAAGCTGAGTAATGGCTGTTTTTAATACTGCTCTATTTCTCTCGGTGCACGCAGTCCATCCTGCCTCGTTTGCTTCTGGTGCTGTCCGTATCTCTCCTCGTCTATTTCTTATACCTGCTCTGGACGCTCCATTAAAAGGAGATTAGAGAAATAGAGAGATAGAAGGCTCTAATATGCCTGTGCCCTTTATCTCCCCAGAGGAGAAAATAAAAGTCAAGGAGATGCAAAATAAGGACGGACTCGTTACCGGTTGGACCCGTTCGCTCTCTGCTTCCATTCTGTTCACAAACAGCCATCAGTCTAAAACGTGTTCCTCCTCCTCGTCTTGCTTCCTTGAGCTCTTCCATTTCTTCCTCCTTTAATTCTCACCTGAAGACCCCATTTCCCATCTCTCCTTCTGCTCTGCTGTCTTCAGGAGGATTAGAAAAGCCTTCGATACTCTACAGTGACAGCTGACTTTTGTGGGAAACGTAGCCTCTCCACTGTGAATGGCTCCTGCCCTCTCCTGTTGACACAGCAGTGTGTGTTGAACACACTGGGCAGTTTCCCCACAGCGCCGTCACCGATTGAGTTCTAGTTAAAGGTTTTGATGCCACTGCAGCATCCTTCAAACCACGGCCGCCCGGCTATTTGCTTCACATGTGGGCATCCTGCCGCGCGGTACCCGATACATCAGGATCGACTCTGTCTCCAATCGTCAAGGTGAATTATCAAAGTTACACCTCAAGTGGTCAGAGGCCCATAGCGTGACGGCTACACCACCGTCCTGCCATTCACCTTTCAGTGCGTCGCTCAGCCGCTGACCTTGTCACAGCCCCTTGGGTCATCATTTATTCATCTGTCCCTCATTGCGTTCCTCCATCCCCGCTTTTCCATGTTGATTGTGTTTGGGTTCATTCATTTTGCATGGTAATGGTGGGAGGGGGGGGGGGGGGGTTGACACGTTTCATAGCTCAACTGCGCAGGCTAAATGGCGTGGGAGGGCAGAGGAGAAGAGTGAGGTGGGGAACAGAGATGGAATGAGATGATTAAGAGAGGAGAGTGAGATGGGAATGAGTGGAAGAGGGCGAGAAGCAGGGGGAGGAAAAGGATGAGGGGGGGGTACCTGAAGTACATGATTTTAATATGAGCGGTATAGGTGGGAGGGAAGAGTCGAGGGACATAGGGGGAGCTGAAGTGAGAACATATGGGGTGGAAACACGGCATAAAGTCCTTTAAATGGAAAGGTCACAAGCTATTCCACCGCTGCTGCTCTCAGATCTGTTGATAAAGGACTATATAGTGCAAGCAGCTATTTTCACAGTGACAAATAATGCACCCTGAAAGTGAGAATGCCACATAATGGGGATGTTATCTATAATAGCATGCATGTTTTCTGCATCTCCAAATCAGGTTTGAATATTTGAAACGTACGCCGCCGACTTGAATACAGCTCAAAAAGCTAAATTGTGACACAAATGTTTCATCCGAATGTGGTAATTCATCAGGTTAATGTTCAAATAAAACATTTGGTCTGATCCCCGAGCCACATAAACTGTTAATGAACTAAAATAACTATAGCCTGGGGGGGGGTTCATTAATGGACTCAAATTCACATGAAATGAATCTGAGTGCACAACACAAGCGTTTGTTTCTCTCCATCGCTCAGAACCCGGAGACAGATGATTTGTTTGATTGGAAAAGCCACCGGTGCACCTCCGATCCAATCACATCCAAGGACTCAAACGACGTTGTCGCCAGGCGGCAATGGCAGTATTTTATTCACGGCATCCATCACAAGCCATGAGAAGGTGAGGAAAGGTAAGAAACCAAGAGGGCCTCTCGGAAATTTATATTTTTCCAATTGCAGTAAATTTGATATCATATCATTGATCAGCTGGTGTGCTCACTGCACATTTCTGACAGGATACTGAAGGACACCCGTGTGCACATAACGTTGTATTTCTTGGTATTTCTTGGTTTTTCAGCTTATCTAAACTGTTAAAGAATTAATTTCACTTTTATTCCCCCTCCAGCAGAATCCTCCCACGTTTAGCAGTCTGGGCTACAGACCAAACACAACTACGTAGCCATTGAGCCCTCAAGGCTTTTTAAGCACTGTGCTCTGCTGAGGTCAAAATCACCATTATCTCTTAACATTATCTTTAACACACGGTTTCATTCGTTTTCTTCCTGATAAACGACCGCTGCATTCTCATTTAACCTTGTATTAACGAATGTGCCATTTCTACTGTTTCAAACTGGCTCTCATTAGCATTTCATTATTTGTAAAGTGCTTTCCAACACCGTTAAGGCCAAAAAAAAAAACTAATAGAGAGTCGGCAAAAAGAAACATTTAAGAAGGAGGAGGATGTAGGATGATTTGGGGGGGGCTGTGTGTACAGTCCAGGGTGAAGGGCAAAAGGACCTGACAGAAAAAGCATCCAGGGATCAGACCTCATCAACGAAAGAGAGATTTGTAGAGACACGATGAGAAATGGCACATGGTGTGTAGAGACACAGGATGTGCGCCTGTGGATGGATACACAGAGCACTCATGTAAGGACGTCCGTGTCTTCTCATGTGTGAACTCTGTCAAAGGGAATCACTGGTCCTCTCACACAGACTCTGAATCCCACCAGACAAAGCTTTTTATTAAAAAAAAAAAATCCTGAAGAATGGGTGAATACTCAATTTTGATTGGCTGCAGGATTATCCATTAATTCCTGAATTCATGTTCTCCTTTCATGGGCTGGCTACATTACTGACACTTTGTATCACATTTACAGTCACCTCACATCCCATGCGCTACCAACAGTGCTACTTCAGGCTGCGGCCGACATAAAACATGGCTTCCAATTTATTAGCGATATTGATTTGGGGACAATGACAATGTCTGGATAGATAGCTAGTCTTGCTGTTAAACATACTGTCAAATTATATTTACTGTTTTTCAACTGTACGCGATGTTAGTGACTCTGAATCTTGCTAGCATAACGTTAGCTTTATGCTAGTGTTATATATTAAATTGGGGAAACGGACATGGCTGGTTAGCTAGCTTGTCTTGTTAACATATTGGGTATTAGCAAGCCTCAGGGTTGCCAGAGAAACTTTAGATTTTGGTTGCAAAACAAAAACAAAAATTAATGATGCTCATTTTTTTGTTCTTTGGCAAGTGGCCATGCTGTAAGGGATTATCAGGAATTAATGGACTTCACAGAGTCAACCATCCGCCGTACGTCGCCCATTAATTCTCGACAATGGACACCTCGTTGGTCATTAGCCCTTACATATACACCCCCACACACCCCCACACACACATATACACTCCCACACCCCCACACATATACACACACACACACACACACACACACACACACACACACACAAAGAGATAAAGATGAACACTCCCATTCAGTCATGCATACACAGGGACAAAGGGACATCATGTCATACTAATCGCAGACCTCACATGGAAATGTGCGTTTCATAATTACAGCCATGAAAGCTACTATATGGATCAATGTGACGGACCTATAATTCCAGCACTGCTTGATCTCTGCAGCTGCGACTGTGAAAACATGGGCACCGAGGACATTCTGTTATCTCTCATTACCACAAAGCTGTGTTTTGTTATAACGCTGAATGGAACGACAGTCTGAGATGGTGGTACTATAAATACCACAGAACTTTTTTTAGTTTGCTGCTCTCATTTGCCTGGTACGAGTGGTCGACACACAGCCATACTGAACCAAGCTCTCAAAGGCCGATGTATTGTGTTGCACGGGGCACACTTTCGGCTAGGAAGAAGACTTCGTGACACATTTTGCATGATTAGAAGAGAGATTAGGGTTGTGCAGATAATCTTGGAAGCAAAGAGCTTAACGTGCCCAGTTGGGATCTGGCATTTTACCACTCAATGTTGAAACTGAACAGCAGCTCAGTCTGGAGCAAGAGAGTGCCAAGAATGTGCTCATTGCACCATCTCAGTGATCATGTGGTTTCATTATGGCTATTTTTACTGGAACAGTGTGTTGTTTCGTAAGTTAAATCAGAAATTGATTGATTGGTTATTCACTTACAAAAACAGTTAAGTTTGTTAAGCTTGGCATGACGCGGCAATAAAAACAAACTGTATAAAGGCATCAAGGCGGGACTACTGCGAGTCGTCTTTTTGTCACCAATCAATCAAACATAACAACTTGTAAACACATATTTTTGCCACATCATCTCAGCCTGCAGACTTTCTCCGGAATTTGTAAGCGGCATGTCAAGAGGAGAAGTGTCTCGGCCGTCCACACGTGGTCTCTCCCTTCAAGTCCTTTTAAGATGAGCCCTACCTCAATCCTTCCTGTGTCTGGTTGGAAGCCTCTGGATGGGTCCTCTGTCGTCACTCGGCACTGGATCGCGCAGCCGTTCACCCTGATCTTGTCTTGCTTGATGCCCAGTTCTGGCAGGCTGCGGCCCTCACACACATGCAGCTGGGCATGCACCAGGTCCACACTGAGAGAGAGAGAGAGGCGATGAGGTGAATAAATTGATTGAGGCCCCGGAACATGGTGTGATTAGCCCTTAATTACCCTTGATGTCACTGGGGAAAATATCTTTTCTGCTTATAAAAAGGTGTAAAAGATCAGTAGGGCCATTCATCCAATATAAACATCTCAAGCTATTCTTGGCCTCCAACCAGACTGAGGAGGGTGTGGCTCTGCAGTGGATGTGAGGATTTATTTTTTCCAGCACTACTCATTTGGACAAATGAATCTGCGACGCGTGACGGGGAAACAATCCCTCATGGATACCTCTTAATAGCAAAAACAAAGTCGATTAAAACGAAAGCTAGGTTATAATTTGATGTTTCTGAAACAATGGCCCCTGGGAAAACAAGCAGCCTACAAAAATACAGTTCTATCTAAAAAAAACAGCAACAAATTAGCAACATAACGTGTTTGCTAGGTGCGCTTCAGCATGGAGAATCTCAATTAAATAGCTCCAAGGAAATGTAAAAAAGTCAAAGCCAAACACCTGCGTTCTCTGGTTTTAAAGAGTAATAGTTTTGCTTGAATTGAATTAAACTGGCTTTCATTATCATTTAATTATTTGTAAAGCACTTTGCGACACCATTAAGGCCTACAAAATCTTTTAAAGATTAATCAAAAAGAAACCTTTACAAAAAGGCAGAGGAGAGAGGACGATGGGGAGGAACTAGAATTACCGTCTCTTGGTAGTACGCCAACCAGACAAGTTGCAGTTTACATCCCTTACAGTCCAAAATGTCATTTTATCCTATACATATTTGTACGAAATTGTCATAGCTACCATATGAATTCTTAGGGTATATATCCAAAAAGTCACAAGGGACCTTTGGCCACCAAAATCTAATCGTCATCCTTGAGTACAGAGGGACATTTGTGGTGAATCTGAAGAAATTAATAGCGATTAGTACGGGTGCTCAATATACCAGGTCCAAGGATATGCAGACCAGTGTGTTCTGGAGTCTCTGCTTGCATGAACAAATGTCCATACATGGCGTGGTATTGCACAGAAGCCCAGCCTCAAGCAGGTTTGTGACTAATTTAAAAAAAAAAAAAAAACTACGTCGCAGTATGTGTGACCGGGCAAATAAATGCACATTGTGTGACTCAGTTGAAGCAAGTAAACCTCTGCATACTGATGAGCTCTGTGATAAGGGTTCATCATGACTAAGTGGAAAGCATTACACTGAGAATGCCATCTGCAACAACCAGGCATATGGAAATCACTGCTCGGGTACAAAAGTGAGGGAAAGAAAAATGCATCGGTTATAGGTTCCTTTATCCATCTTTATTAAATTTCAAAAAGATAAAAATGTCGTCATGACCTGTCAAAAATGTTGCCAATTAAGAATGATGTTTGAGTAAAATACACTGTGTAGTGCTGAGCTGTTTGTTATGTCACACACACACACACACACACACACACACACAGGATTACATTACGCAAATTCTTATTCAGCAATTACCCAATATTAGAAAATATTTAAATAAGAGGGACATAGAGACATTATTTTCTTCCATTTCCACGAGTTGTAACCTCATCTGTATGCATTTATTTAAATGTGAAGCTCAAATGAGACTTGCTGGGTTAAGCTTCATGACCTTGCACAATCTTAACGCGCAGCCCAAAAAATGTATGAGAGCACTTTGTCATCCTCGTTTTCTGGATCACATTTTAAAATGCGGCGGTGGATGGACAAAGAGGGCGGGGACATACAATGCCTTTGCACTCGAGACAAGCGGGTAGCCTCAGCGCCTTGAAGGGTGAATGAGAGACAGGACACACACACACACACACACACACACACACACACACACACACACACA